CGATGTCAGTCTGTACCGTTTGGCAATAGAGGAGAGCAGCGCCACATGCGACTGGCCAAGGTAGGGCTGCTTTACTTGTGATGGGTGTTGATCGTCCCTCTCCCTTTCCCCCCCTGCCTACCGTCCCGCCCGTTTGCCACCATCAGTCTGGTGCCCTGGCGGCTGTACCGTTTGGCAATAGAGGAGAGCAGCGCCACATGCGACTGGCCAAGGTAGGGCTGCTTGTGCTGAGTGTTGATTGCTGTGTGTTGTATGCTGAGCGTTGTACAGGCATGTGATCGAGTGGGAAAGGTGATAATGGGCAGTATCACCTTTCTCATGTGTTGGATGCATGCCAGCAGCCAGCAGGCACTTAATGGGCTGAGTACGCCTTTGCTGTTCGTGGCTGTGAGTACGGAAAAGCGGCGCGCTCACAGGGGCGAAAACGGGACCCTTCTCTTCCCGCATTCGCATCTGTTTCGTGTTTGCATTTGCCCAGGCGGTGGACATAGAGGAGACCGTTTGGAAGTCAAAGGGTCTCACAGGGCGTCTGGGCGTCTCAGAAGTTGAGACACCTCTGTCTGGCTTGCTCGAACACTCCCCCGCCTGTGCCTGCTCCTCCCGCATTTGCATCTGTGTGCATCCGCCCAGGTGGTGGACATAGAGGAGACCGTTTAGCCCTAGGCTGGGGGGCGTGGACGTGTCTGTGCGCGTGGCAGTGCGCAAAGAGAGGAAGAAAGCGTGGCTTGCTCATACACTCCCCCGTCCATGTCTGCTCCTCACGCATTTGCATCCGCCCAGGTGGTGGACATAGAGGAGACCGTGTGGAGCCCTAGGCTGGGCCTCAAGGGACGTCTGGACGTGTCTGTGCGCGTGGCAGTGCGCAAAAAGGGGAAGGAATCAACGGCTATGGGGGGAGGGATGGGGGCACAGCAGGGAGCGCGGGCAGGAGTGGGGAGGTGGAAGGGGAAAGGGAGTGGAGGGAGTGGGGGGAGTGGGAAGGGAGGGGAGGGGGAGGAGATGGTGATGATGCCTCTTGAGGTGAAGACTGGGAGGAGCAGCTCTAACCAGGTACGCATGCTTATGGACATGTGGAAGGAATCTACCTTGCTTTTCCTCTCTCTGTTTCTTTCTTTTCCCCTTCGTTTGGCGGCTAAAGAGCACAGGGCGCAGGTGATGCTGTACTGCCTGCTCATGGCGGAGCGGTACCTGCAGGGCATCAGTGCGGGCCTGCTGCTCAACACAACCTGCCTGCTCATGACAGAACGGTTCCATCCAACCCCTGGCGCACCCACTTGCCCTTGCCCTTGCTTTCACCCCACAAAACCCTCTCCCCAATCCTCCTACCCTTCTCCCCTTTGCCTCTCTCGGGCTCTCTCTCTCTCTCTCTCCCCCAGGCGGCCATAGAGCACAGGGCGCAGGTGATGCTGTACTGCCTGCTCATGGCAGAGCGGTTCCATCCAAACCCTGGCGCACCTACTTGCCCTTGTCCTTGCTTTCACCCCACAAAACCCTCTCTCCCCGATCCTCCTACCCCTCTCCCCTTTGCCTCTCTCGGACTCTCTCTCCCTCTCCCAGGCGGCCATAGAGCACAGGGCGCAGGTGATGCTGTACTGCCTGCTCATGGCGGAGCGATACCAGCAGGGCGTCAGTGCTGGGCTGCTGCTCAACCTGCACAACAGCGCCACCACTGTGAGTGGGGAGGGGATTGCGCGGTGGGATGGGATGTTGTGTGGTGTGAGAGTGGTATTAGATGGGTTCGAGAGGGATCAAGAGCTTGGTACCGGCAGGGCGTCAGTACTGGTCTGCTGCTCAACCTGCACAACAGTGCCACGGTGAGTGGCAGGGGTGTGGTGCGGTGGTACGTGGTGTGGTGTGAGTGAGTGTTATTTAATGGGTTCGAGAGGGGTCAAGAGCTGGAACCAGCAGGGCGTCAGTGCTGGGCTGCTGCTCAACCTGCACAACAGCGCCACCACTGTGAGTGGCAGGGGGTGTGGCGCGGTGCATTGGAGTGTGGTGTGGTGTGGTGTGGTGGGGTAAGTTACTTTGAGAGGTATGCCCCAAGCACCATGCTCCATGCTCCTTGCTCTGTGCCCCACGCCCCAACCACACCGCTTTGCCCATACCTTTTCCCCCATACCCATTCCCCCGTACCTCTTCTTCCCACATACCACTTGTCTCGTGCCTCCCTACAGGGCATTCAAGTGAGTCGCAGGGAGCTGGTGGCCTTGATCATCAGGCGGAACATGCCTCTTTCCTTACATACTTTTCCCCCATACGTTTTCCTCCGCACCTCTTCCCCTCTACCTCTTTCCCCATAACGCCCTACAGGGCATTCAAGTGAGTCGCAGGGAGCTGGTGGGCTTGATCATCAGGCGGAACATCCTGGCCAACGATTTGAAGAGAGCATCGACGTATCAGGAGCTGCCACCTGTCCTCGAGGTAGGCACCGGGGAGTGGGGAAGAGGTCATTTCAGATTGGGTTTGGGTCATGGCTAGTGTACTGTTCATGTTTGAGGCTGAGCCCTATAGTAAATCAATCAATATTGATATCAAAATTACACTACTTGTCATGTTTTTTTCTTGCGTTCCCTTCCCATCCCCCCACCCCCTCCCCCACCCGTCCTTTGTGTTTTCCCCATTCGTTTGCTCGTCCGGGCCAACGCTGTTTCCCTTGTTGGCAGAGTGTGAATCAGTGCAACAACTGCAGTCAATTCGATGTGTGCTCGTCATACTTCAAGGTACCTGCTGCAACTGGCATGGCTTACTGCAGCTACTATTCAATCACTGTTTCAATGTGCCCCTTATCTCAAAAAGCCACTTATCGTTTATCCTAACCTCTCCGTGTTCCCATTCCTCCTCTGCGTTCCCCTCCAATTCCTCCTCTCTTTCTCCCTCCCCTTCCCCCCCACAACAGCTTCAGGACCACACGCACCCTGCCTCTGACCCATCAGCATTTGCAGAGGAGGTGGAAAAGAGGCGGGGCGAGCAATGGGGCGAGAAGGATGCACAGTTCTTGAGCCACTGGGAGCGACTGGTGGACATGGAGACGAGAAGTGCGGAGGTGGGTTGGGAATGACTGTTAAGGCGTTCCAAGAGAGGCGGAGTGAGAAGTGGGGCGACTGGTGGAAGTGAGAAGTGAGGACAGGACATGGAGACGAGAAAGGCCTCAGTGAATCCTTGTCTTGAAATGTCTCCCGACCCCTTCCCGTCCATTCGTGCTTCTTTCTTGTTCCTGCCGTTCATGCGCGCTCCATCCTCGTCCCCCTTCCCTGCCTGCAGGCCTCCCACGCTGACATCTGGGCCATGCCCACAGAGGAGCGAGAGGCCACTGGTCGCTGCATCGGTCCCCTGCAGCTCTCCTCAATCAAACCGCCTGAAGGAGTTGCAGAAGCAGCAGCAGATGGAAGAGCAGGAGCAGGAGGAGCAGGAGCAGGCTCAGGGGCAGGAGCAGGGGGTGGGACGGCAGGCGTGGGTGGGTGCACTCAAATAGTGGGCACGGCGGCGGCAGCTGTGCTGGCGGATGGGCGAATAGGGCAGTCGAGGGACCAGTGGGAGTATACGTTCAAGAGAGCTTGGAGTATAAAGAACTGCAGCAATAGCAGCACTGGTGGTGGTGCTGGTGGGGGAAGTCCTGGTGGTGCTGCTGCTGGGGGGAGTGGGAGTGGAAGGTTGGACCAGACAGGCTTTGTTGCTGGCGACTACGTGGTGAGAGAGGGCAGACTGAAGTTTCTTGTTTATAATTTTTATTTGCCCACCTTTCGATCCTCTTTGGCGAGCTGGAAAGACCCTGAAGTCCCTTCACCATGCCCTTTGTTGCCCTTCCGTTCTTCTGTCCTTGTGTCCTTTCATCCTTGTTGCCCTTTCAGATTCTGAGCACAGTATCAGGGCAGGCTGGAGTGGCCACAGCCACCATCACTGCAGTCACACCGCATAACATCACAGTGAGTGCCAGCCCGCTTTCGTGGCTTGCCTGTGAGAAATCGGTGAGAAAGAGGTGAATAAAATGCGAGCAAAAGCGTCCTTATTCAATCCGACCTCTAACCTCTCATTGTTCCTTCCAAACACACTTTCTCCTTCAACCTATCCTCCTCCGTGTGGCACTGTCACTTCTCTAGGCGCCTCAGGGTCGGACCTTTGATTCTTCCTCTATTGACCTCCGTGTGCCTTTGTCCAATCCAGATGAGAGCTCACCGCCAGTTAAGGCTGCCGAGCAGAAGCGGAGCAGCAGGGAGAGAGGAGGAGGAGGAGGAGAGGCGGGTGTGGAGTGAGAGGTGGCGCGTGGATAAGGACGAGATGACGGGAGGGGGAGGCGGGCAGCTGAGATTCAACCTCGTTGGGCTGTTCCTGCCCTCGCTTGAGAATGACCGCCGGAGACGGCTGGTGGTGCATCTGGAGGTGCGTTGAGGGGGTTTTTTTGGGGTGTGTGTGCGTGGGGGGGTTTGGGGGGGAAGGGGGAAAAATCGTGTGCGTGCGCCATTTGCTCGCCCTGATCACCCCATCCTCCAATCACCCACCACCCCATCCCCCCATCCCCCCATCCATCCACCCATCTGCAGCCCCCGCAATTCTCCCCTCCTGAGGACATACATCCGGACAGCATGGCATATCTCTCCTTGCTATCATCCCGAGAGATCAACGACGATCAGAAGCAAGCAGTCATCAAGGTAAGTCCATGCAACTGCACTGCACTGCATGCAGGCTTGACAGCTCCCTCCGCGCAACCACCAACCTGTTTCCTTTCCCGTATACGCAGTGTGTTGCTTGTTTCCGTTGTTCCCATGTTCTTGCCCCGTATCTGCTCCTGCTTCTACTCCATTCTCCTCTCCCCCCCGCCGGCCGCGTAAGCACGGGACGATTCAGTGATGGAGGACCAGCCAGAAACAGGCTTCCAAGGCACCAAAAGCAGGCCTCTAAGGTGCCTCAGGAACAGACCCATTACATTCCCCCTCCCCCCCCCCTCCGTATCTTCTCGTATATCTACTCCTACTCCTACCCCTACGCCTGTCCCTGCATAGGCCATGTCAGCACGGGACTACCTGGTGGTGCAGGGCGGGCCTGGTGCAGGCAAGAGCACGGCGGTGGTGCATCTGGTGAAGGCGTTAGCTGCCGGGAAACTCTGGTGCTTTCATAATGTATCTGCTCCTGCTCGTACTCCCACCCCTACCCAGGCCATGTCAGCACGGGACTACCTGGTGGTGCAGGGCGTACCTGGTGCAGGCAAGAGCACGGCGGTGGTGCATCTGGTGAAGGCGTTAGCTGCCGGGAAACTCTGGTGCTTTCATAATGTATCTGCTCCTGCTCGTACTCCCACCCCTACCCAGGCCATGTCAGCACGGGACTACCTGGTGGTGCAGGGCGGGCCTGGTGCAGGCAAGAGCACGGCGGTGGTGCATCTGGTGAAGGCGTTAGCTGCTGGGGGCCGGTCGGTGCTTGTGGCTGCCCACACCAACACGGCTGTCGACCACATTCTCCTGAAGCTCATGAAAAAGGTTGGATTTGATTAATGAGGCGTCTGAGAGAGAAACGCCAAAGAGAAGAGCAGCTCTCAGCAACACTCGGACTGTTCACCACATTCTGCTGAACCCCTGTAACCACTGTGTGATTCATGTTATGGCAGGGAGTGGCGGTGCTGCGAGTGGGGAGGCCTGCAGCTGTGCACCCAAACCTGCTGCCTTACACCCTCAACGACAGAGGTGAGAGGGAGGGATGGTCCTTTGAGAAGTCTCAAAACTCGACTGATTTGCATGTATGCTATGATGGCATCACCTTAGTGAATTTTCAGTGTACCTGGACCTGCTGCCATGCACTAATCGTCCCTCGCCCCTAGTCCCTCGTCCCTCGTCCCGTTCTCTCTCCCCTCGTTCCCACCGTGCTTCCCTCTTCCCTTGCCGTTTCTCTTCTTGCTTACATTCGTCCCCAGGGGGAGGTATGGACGTGGGCAGTGTAGCGGGCATGGAGGCAGTGGGTTTGGGCGCATCAGTGGTGGGGTGCACGTGCCTGGGCGTGGGGCAGTCGCTCTTTGCTCGCAAGCGCTTTGACGTGGCAATTCTGGACGAGGCAGGACAGACGACCCTGCCTGTAAGTGGGGTTGTCGTTGGATCTGTTTGCTCGCGGAGAGTGTTTGCTCGTTGGATCTGTTTGCTCGCGGAGAGTGTTTGCTCGTTGGATCTGTTTGCTCGCGGAGAGTGTGCATCAAGCATGGGGAGACCCAGAGAACAGGCGTCCTGGGTTTGCCTAGGCGTGGGGCAGTCGCTGTTTGCGCGCAAGCGCTTTGACGTGGCTATTCCGGACGAGGCTGGGCAGACCACCCTGCCGGTGAGGGGGGTTGCTTGGGAAGGGTGGGGAGGGGAGGGGAGGAGAGAAGTGTGGATTGTGTAGGAGCGGGTGGGACTGTGTGGAGGATGGTGGGCATGTGTGTCGTGTTATGTCACACCATACACCATTTAATCTCTCATCTGATGGCGTGTGTGTGTGTGTGTGTGTGTGTGCGCGCGCGCTCGCTCGCGCGTGTGCGGGGGTGCTTGCGTACATGTGTGTGTGTGTATGTGCGCATGCATTTACAGGAGGCGCTTGGCCCGTTACGCCTAGCGTCAACCTTCGTGCTGCTGGGAGATCTGCACCAGCTGCCACCTCTTGTTCGGGTACACACTCACACCCTTGCACCTTCCACCTTTCTTAGTCGACTCAAAGTCTTGTTCAGATACACACCCTTGCACCATCCACGTCAACCCTCACTCACCCACTCACTCACCCACTCACTCACCGCCTCTCACTCGCCCCGGTGCACAACAAACTCCATCTCGCTTTCCCTTCCTCCTCTTCACCCCCCGCTTCCCTCTTTCCCCCCTTCGTACCCCTAACAGGACCCCAGGGCGCGGCAGCAGGGGCTGGGGGTGAGCCTACTGCAGAGACTAGCGGAGGCGCATCCAGAGGCAGTGGCGCATCTGAGCACGCAGTACCGCATGTGCCGCCCCGTCATGGCCCTCGCTAATGCTCTCGTGTACTGGAGGGGCGAGAGAGGTCCTTTTCAAAGGATGTTTGGCGTGACAAGCTCCCCCTCTTCCTCTGTACCTCCTCGCCTCCCTCCCTCCCTCCCTTCCCCCCCCCTCCCTCTCTCCACTCCTCCCCTTCCCCTCGCCCCAACAGGACCCCAGGGCGCGGCAGCAGGGGCTGGGGGTGAGCCTACTGCAGAGACTAGCGGAGGCGCATCCGGCAGCAGTGGCGCATCTGAGCACGCAGTACCGCATGTGCCGCCCCGTCATGGCCCTCGCTAATGCTCTCGTGTACGACGGGCGTCTCAAGTGCGGGTCCGAGGCTGTCAGCAACGCCAGGCTGGTCCTGCCGAAGCTGGGCTCGCTCCTGGGCATGGGGAAGGGGGGTCTGCCGCTGTGGCTGCAGCAGGTGAGACGGGCTTGAGGCCACTGTGCCACTGTGTTTGCGGTAGGAGGCACGGGAGAGAGGGGAAAGGGAAATGGGGCTTGAGGGTGGAGGGTGAGAGAGGGTGGCCGGGTTGGATGTCCCACGGCTGCTGCTGACAGGTAATGTGGAGCTAACAATCACACTGCCTTGTTCCTTCCTGTGACTTTTGAGTCGACTCAAAAGTCCCACGGCTGCTGCAGACTGATAATGTGGAGCGAGCGATCACAGTGCCTTGTAAATCCTTCCTGTGTGCTACTTTCTGGGTCATGAGGCGCCTCAGGATTCCTTCCTGTGAATAACGCTGGCTCATGAGCTCTCTGCATCTCTGCATCTCTGCTGACTTATTTCTGTCTGTGGTACCTGGCTGGCTGGCAGGTGATTGATCCGGAGAAACGGCTGCTCTTTCTTGACACAGGTACGCAGCAGCAGACTCTAAGGTGCCTCATAGGTGCACTCACAGGATGGTTACTGTTCACGCACACTCACGCTCACGCTCGCAGAGCTGCTCTCCCCCTCTCTTCCCTCTCGAACAGTCCTCTCTTTCTTGCTCTTCCCCTCCCTTCGTTTCTTTCCCGCTTCACCTCTTCTCCTTCTCCTCTCTGTCTCCCTCTGCAGCTGAGGTGGAGGGTATACAAGAAACCCGGGAGAAGGAATCAACGTGCAACGAGGGAGAGGCAGCGATCATAGCGCGCATAGTAGCCTCCCTAGTAGCCGCAGGGCTGCCTGCATGCGACATTGGCGTGGCCACGGTGTACAATGCGCAAGTCAAGGCGCAGAGAGCTGCGCTGGCAAGAGTCCTGGGGCGAGGGGGAGGGTGCCGGGAGGAATGGGGGGAGGACAAGGAGGGGGGGATTAAGCGGGGCGTGAAAGGAGGGTTGCAGGAAGGCGTGAGGGAGGCGAACGGGGGAATGGAGGGGGGCGTGGAGGGGGGTTGGGATGGGGAAGTGGAAGTGGAGGTGGATACGGTGGATCGGTTCCAAGGGCGGGACAAGGCGTGTGTGGTGTTCAGCACTGTGCGGTGCAACCGGCGCGGGCAGCTAGGACCTGTGCTGGCGGATGCAAGCCGCTGCAACGTCGCCATCACACGCGCCAAGGTAGGATGGTTCGTGAAGCGAATTGTTTTCATAAGGCACTTTTTCTTAAGCGCTCTGTGGAGTCCGCGATTATCCCAGCACCCTCCATACCTGCAACAATGGTTCAAGTCTGATCCCTCATGCTGAATCTCTGCTCTGCTGTTATCCGATCCGATTACTGGGTTGCCCATTCTATGCCCATCACCCTATGCCCATCATTTCTGAAACCCCCAGGCGAAGCTACTAATTATCGGTTCTAGCTCCACTCTTCGACGGGGGTCGGCGCACTTCCTGCGACTGCTGCAGCTGGTGAGCTGCCCTAGCATGCACCTCGATTCCTCGAACCACGCAGAGCTTTTTGTCTGTTACTGCCTCAGACGCCACGGACATCAGAACTAGAGTGCATTCAGGCCTTTTCTGCTGTCAGCTTTTGCAAGCTTCCACTCAAGCGTTTCCTGCAATGCCAACTTCTTGTCCAATGCAATGTGCAATGGTCCATATGACGATGGTGCCTGTCCTATGCTCCATATGCGTGTGTGTGGAAACATGCCGATGGGTATGTGAAACCTTCCCCTGCGTGTGATCGTGTGTTCACAGGTGGACCGAGATAACCAGCTGTATGAACTGCCAAGTCACGCACTAACAGACTGCACTACAGCAGGACAGCCAACCACAGGCATATGATCCACAACACGCAGCTGAGCCGATTACCAGTCGACTCAAGAGGTCTGCCACTGAGCCTATGGAAAGGGTGCCGTTACCCGTAACGTATTTCATATAAAGCAACCTTTTGAATAAACAGGGTGTCAAAGCCAGAAGCCCAGCCCAAGCAAAGAGTCAGCCCAGTTGGAACAGCAATGTGCCCCTGGCTGGCCCTACATTCCAGTAGTTACGGTATCATTATTACAGTACCACGCTTCTAATCCAGCTAACCATTTTGTGTTCTCGTTATTCTCCATAAAGCATGTCGCTGTTGGCGCTGTAAGGCAGGTGTGATAATCAAAGTTCTGTATGGAAGGTTTAGTATAACGTAACTATTGATGCCACAGCATTGTTCGACGGCAGTTGTGGTAACGGTACGATACTTATCGGGAGTGGTAAACTGTTATTACGGCACCTACACCTTCATCTGTACCATTACGAACTCGTGTGACTGGAGCGCAAGTTTTTCCAGGGCATTTTCACAGTTACCGTACAAATCAGGCCAGAGAATGCGAGTTGCTTGCAAAAAGGGGCCTCGAGTCAGACTCAAAAACAGATATTCTTCAGCATCTGTATGAAAACAGCACTGTAAAGAGCAATGTAAATCTTCAGTCGTCATCGGCCGCATAATGACAACAAACTCTGCACCTGTGCTCCCTTCTGTTCTCCTTCAACCCCCCGTCTCCAGACCACACCCAGCCAGACCAGACCCGACCCATCATCACCCCTACTCATCCGCCGCAGCTGCCTTCTTCTTTTTCTTCTTCTTCTTCTCCCCCTCCCCACCACCATCCGCACCAGCACCAGCAACAGGCACAGCCAGAAACGCCTCTGCACCTTGCCCTTGGACAGACCGAGAGCCAGGAGCAGGCTTGCTGGTCTTCTCCTTGAGAGCTTTTGCCATGGATGCCACGTCCTCCGATGTGACCTTGTTGCTACTGCCCGGTGCTGCCTTGCCTGCTGCCGTGTTCTTGCGCAGCTGTGATGGTGAAGGGGGGAGAGGGGAGAGGGGAGAGGGGAGAGGGGAGAGGGGAGAGGGGAGAGGGGAGAGGGGAGAGGGGAGAGGGGAGAGGGGAGAGGGGAGAGGGGAGAGGGGAGAGGGGAGAGGGGAGAGGGGAGAGGGGAGAGGGGAGAGGGGAGAGGGGAGAGGGGAGAGGGGAGAGGGGAGAGGGGAGAGGGGAGAGGGGAGAGGGGAGAGGGGAGAGGGGAGAGGGGAGAGGGGAGAGGGGAGAGGGGAGAGGGGAGAGGGGAGAGGGGAGAGGGGAGAGGGGAGAGGGGAGAGGGGAGAGGGGAGAGGGGAGAGGGGGAGGGGGGAGAGGGGAGAGGGGGGAGAGGGGAGAGGGGGGAGAGGGGAGAGGGGGGAGAGGGGAGAGGGGGGAGAGGGGAGAGGGGGGAGGAGGGGAGAGGGGGGAGAGGGGAGGGGGGGGGGAGAGGGGAGAGGGGGGAGAGGGGAGAGGGGGGGGAGCAAAGAGGGGCTGAGAAAATGGGGGATTGAGGCGAGCGAGGGCAGGTGGGGGCAGGTGTGGCAGGTGGGAGCAGGTGGGGGCAGGTGGGATAGGGGAGCAGGTGGGGCCAGGTGGGAGAGGGTGGGAGACACACCTTGGGTGGTTGGAACGCCTCCTCTCGCTTCCGCTGCTTCTCCTCCACCGCCTCCTCCTGCTTCTCCATCTTCTCCGCGTGCTTCTTAGCCGCCTTTCTCTCCGCCGACAAAAAGTACTCTCCAGTCTCCAGAGCCAGGTCGATCTTGCCCGGCTTTCAAATATCTCATCCCCCCGCCCACCCACCCCTCCTTTCCTCTGTCTACAGACGTACCTAAATTCGCTCGTACGTTCCCATTCACACAACCAACAAACAGATGCAGCACGACCACGAGCCACGCACCTTGGGTGGTTGGAACGCCTCCTCTCGCTTCCGCTTCTTCTCCTCCACCGCCTCCTCCTGCTTCTCCATCTTCTCCGCGTGCTTCTTGGCCGCCTTTCTCTCCGCCGACAGGAAGAACTCGCCGCTCTCCAGCGCCAGGTCGATCTTGCTCGGCTGCTGCGGCGGCGGGAAGGGTGTGTACGGCTTCTTGGCCTTGCTCTTGACCTTCTTCGTCTGCACGTTCTTCCTGAAGTGGTGGGGGGAGTGGGGGGAGTGGGGGGTTTGGGGTGGGGGGTGTGAGGGCAATGAGTGGCGGGCAGAGCGGGTGAGTGTGGGGTCACGGTGGTGGGTTTTGAGTCGACTCGAGTCGCCGTGGGAAGGGCGTGTACGGCTTCTTGGCCTTGCTCTTGACCTTCTTCGTCTGCACGTTCTTCCTGGCGTGTGGGGAGAGTGAAGCAGGGATGGACATTGATGAAAGAACCTATTTTTGAGTCGACTCAAAATAAGTGAAGCAGGGATGGACGGTGACGAAAGAAAGGGATCAGTTGCAATTCAAAAGCAGCTTGCATGAAGCAGCTTCAAGAGAAGAATGGAGTGGAAAAAAAAAGGTGAGCAAAAAGGATTCCCAGATCTCATTCCCTTCCCCATCCATTCATTCCCCCCTCCCCCCCAATCCTTTCTCCCCACCAATCCATTCCCCCCAAATGCATTCCCAGTGCGTTCCCCTTGTTCCAGCCTTGACCAGGACATTACTTTTTGAAGGTGGGCAGAAAGCGGTCCCAGATTTCCTCCTTGAGAGCAGGGTCCTTTTCCAGCTCGCGCTTTATCATCAGAGTCTGGGGTGGGGGACCAGGAGGTATGAGGGAATTTTGGGGAGTTTCAAGGTAGTACAAGCGGGAAAAACAGCCCAGATTTCCTCCTTGAGAGCTGGGTCCTTTTCCAGCTCGCGCTTTATCATCAGAGTCTGGGGTGGGGTGGGGGACCAGGAGGTATAAGGGAATTTGGGGGAGTTTCAAGGGATTACAAGCGGGAAAAACAATCCAGATCTCCTCCTTGTGAGCTGGGTCCTTCTCCAGCTCGCGCTTTATCATCAGTGTCTGGAGGGGGAGGAAGTACACGAGGAGGTTTGGAGAGGTGTGGGGAGGTGTGGGGAGGTGTGAGGGAGTGGAATTATTGAAAATTATGGGTGAAATACAGTACAACATGCTAGTCCAAAAATGCCTCCAAAACTATGCTACAGTAAGTATGAAGTTATCCCCCGAGTTCCGTTGGGAGACTTATTTTTGTCACAATATGTACTTGAGGCCTATCATGTTATATGCATTCATCAAGAGCACATTCCCGTCCATGCCACAGTCGTCCATGCACAATGAAGCACCTTGATGTGGTAGATGGGGTGGATGTTCTTCATACAGTCCTCCACAATGCGCCTCACTGCCTTGAGCCCCCGGGGCGTGCCGATGGCTGATACTGTGTTACCCTGCCGTGGACATGGAGGGTGGTGGGAGGGCGGTGGGAGGGTGACGGCAGTTTGGGTGATGGTCCAAAGGAGATAAGAGGGAAGCAACAAAGGTGAGAGGGACAGAGGTGAGGGAGAGGTGAGAGGTACGGCTCGTCGGCACCTATGTCAATCAGCACGGCCAGGCATGGCCAGGCACGGCCAGGCACGGCCAGGCACAGCACAGCACCACACCGAACCACACCTGAACGAGCACGTAGCAGCCAGTGAGCAGCTCAATGGCCTTAAGCGTTGACCCATTGGGCCCCAGCAGCCGCTGCCGCCGCTTCACAAACCGCTCCTGGTGATGCGCGGGCGAGCGGGGTTGGGGGGTTTTGAGCAGGGATGGGGAGCGTCGCAGGGAAACAGGAAGTGGGCTGATGAGTATGAGGAAGAAAAGGAGGGGATTATGGGAGCAAGAAGAGCAAGGACGAAAACGGGAGGAGGGGAGAAAATGAAAGATTCGTTGCTCCAAACGATTCTGTGACACAGTCATACAGACCACCGTTTGAGGCGCCTCAAGTCTTCTTGCGGGGCACAGACCACCAGAAGCGCTACGACGATAACCCCCATGCTTGTGGTACGAAGAGCTATAGCATGGAGGAACCCTAGCAAGCGGGACAGGAATGCGCGCTTGATCAGAATAGTCACCTGTGTCCCGCCCGCATGACTTAGATGCGTTGCGCTGCGTTTTGTTGCGTCTCCTCCTCAACATAAGATGTGACCGACCAACCGACTGACAGAGAGTGAATGGTGATTACCTTGCTGCGGACCATCCCGCCAATCTTGATGATATCGCAGTATGTCTCGTCGTCCAGGATCTTCAACGCCTGCCATACCGCGAGAGGCGACAGAGAGAAAGCGGAACAGAGGCGCAGAGGGGACAGGGGGGGCAGTGGGGCAGGGGGGCAGGGGGGCAGGGAAGGGAGACAGGAGGAGAGGGTGGGTGACGCAGGGGCATGAAGTGCTCTTGTGTAAGCAATCACGATACACAACACACACGCCTCCACCCACATACACCCACATTCACAACCGCACACCCACCGCAACCCCACCCCAGCAGCACCCACCTGTGCGACTGGCACGAAGCACAGGTGAGCGCGAGAGCAGCTGATGGGTTTAAGAAGCCCCTTAAGCCCTTTCCCTCCCTTTCCACCCACAAACCCGCACTCACCACCGCACCCTCACCCGCACCCCCGCCCGCACCCTCACCCGCACCCCCACCCGCACCACCGGCCGCAACCCCACCCCCACATCCAACCCCATCCTACAAACCCCACAAACACCCGCGCAGCGCCCACCTGCGTGACGGGCACGGAGCGCGAGAGCAGCTTGATGAGGTCGCGCGCGCGCACGATGATGTAGGGGTCGCGCGTCTTGCGCGTGGTCTTAACGGTCATGCTGCCCTCCACCAGGTTCAACTCGCTCGCTCCCCTCCCTTCCCCCCTCTTTCCCCGCCCACAAACCCTCACTCAACCGCACCCCCGCCACAACCAAGCCCACAAGCGCCTTCTGAAGCGCGTCAAAACCCACCAGCAGCCACACACCCGCATACCCACCCCAACCGCACAACACCAGCGCGCACCTGCGTGACGGGCACGGAGCGCGAGAGCAGCTTGATGAGGTCCCTTGCGCGCACGATGATGTAGGGGTCGCGCGTCTTGCGCGTGGTCTTAACGGTCATGCTGCCCTCCACCAGGTTCAACTCGCACGTCACCCCGAACTCGTTCAGCGCGCGGGTTACTTCTGGCCACGCCTCGCGGAGATACTTTTCTGTTGGGGGGGAGAAAGGCGGGGAGGCGGGAGGCGGAGGGAGGGAGGGGTGGGGGGAAAGGGGGAGCGGGGTAGGGCGGGGCAAGGAAAAGCGGAGGTTTCGGTAAGGGATAGGGATACGGGTGCGCGTGGTCTTGACGGTCATGCTGCCCTCCACCAGGTTCAACTCGCACGACACGCGGAACTCGTTCACCAAGTCACCTCCGGCCACGCGTCGCGGAGATACTTCTCTGGGAAGGCGGGAAAGGGGTGAGTGGGGGAAGTGGGGAGCGGGAAAGAGCTGGGAGACTTTTGTAAGGCGGAAAACCGTGTAACCTTGATGCAGCAGTGCACCGCGCGATGAAGCGCTTCCCAAAACAGCGACCCAACCTCGACACAGAGCCGCACCTCCATGCAACGCACTCCAATTCAGCGCACTTTCGATACAGTACCTCTTGCTACAACGTCGCACCCCGCTATAGCGCACCTCGGCACAACGCGCCTCGCTACAGCGCACCTCGCTACAGCGCACCCCGCTATAGCGCACCTCGGTACTGCGGAAACAGCGTGGCGAAGGAGCTCTCTTCCAGTAAGCCCGTGGGGTTCCACGCGGGGTCGAATTTCTCCACCTTCCAATGCTCCACGTCGTCCGTGTCCCACGGCTTCGGCTTGCGGTACTTATTATGGTCCTTCGGCGCCGCTCCCCCCGCTCCCGCTCCCGCTCCGTTTTGCGCGCTGCCAGTCCCCCCTTCCGCGCCGCCCTCCCCGCCGCCGCCTCTTCCCTTTTTCTTACCCATGCCTATACGCGGTGCCGCGCTACGATGTGTTGTATTGACGAGAATAAAGTTACCGAATGGTTGCTGTTTCGAATGTGGGTGCGTTGGCGCCGAGCGAAGGCAGCGCTAATCGCGGAGCAGAACGAGAACGGAAAGAACGGTGAGGTAGGAAGCTTGCTAGGGTAAGCGAGAGACGCGGAGTATCGATAGCAAGAAGAGCTTAGAACTCAAGACGAGTAAATTATTATCGGAGGGGTTCGGGTTCAGGTTATCGGGTTCAGGGGAGAGAAGTCGTGACAGCGCGAACGCTAACGAAGATTCACGAGAGAGTTACCCGCCGCAGTTGGTCTCACAAACCTCGTCGGGGACAGGAATAGTGGCGAAACGGTGTTGGCGAAGTGTTCTGGAAAGGTCTGCTTTGATAGGTGATGCTGTCCTCGCTGGGACTTGTACCTACGTCTCTACCACTACATAAAAATGATGGGTGATGATGAACCGAAATGGCATTTCGAACATCCACCAATGGTTTTAGGGCGTGGGCAGCGCGTTCATTTTCTCCACTTTTCCAAAATTTTGACGCCCGTCGAATCAGGAAAATACTGTAGCATTTTTGCACCGCGCTTAGTTTGTGTCCCAGGTGGGACACGCGCGTCCAGAATTAGGCACAGGTCCCGCCACACTTTTGCCCAACCGCCCACCCAATGAGGTAACCCTGTGCTAGTGGATCTGGTGACGGGGCGCAGTACGAAGCTGTATTTGTGAACCCATGAATTTGCGAGGGTCGTACGCGCTTGACGAACTCGTGGTGCGGTTTCGCTGACCTGCACACAGGCATTCTCGAATGATGCGCGTGTTGTTCGCGGCCGTCGTGGGAACGTGTTCTGTTCGGTTGACGGCACGGAAAACAGCCACCGTTCATCCACTGTATACTCCATCGTGTCCACTCGTTACTCTAAATCAGGGTTACAAACCGCTGAATCTGGTAACTGTTTCGGGCTAAGCCAAGAAAATGAACGCGCTGCCCCCGCCCTTACTGAATCTGAATTCAACAAGCAACAGAAACCTCAGCTTCCTGCTGTCGCTTCCTATCCCCTTCAAGCATGGCCTTGATATAGAACTCTCCAGCACGATACGATGAGCGAACCATGGGGCCGGCAGCAACATAGCGGAAGCCCTGCAAACAGAGAGGTGAGCATGACCAAACCATCCCATCCCATGAACTTCAGCACCTTCCTACCATAACAGAAACAAACAAACTAACAAAACCAAGCAACCAAGAAAAAACAAACAGAAAATGCGTAGACTCGGCAGCAAGCAGCTATTTCCACACACACAAAGCATGCAACACTGGCACACGGGCAACCAGACAAGCTCACCATTTCCTCGCCCACTTTCTTCCACTGGTCAAACGCCTCGGGAGTGACGTAGTGGCTGACTGGCATGTGGCGGCGCGTGGGGAGCATGTTTTGAGTCGACTCAAAACAGAAAATGCAACACTAGCACACTGGTAACAGACGAGCTCACCATTTCCTCGCCCACTTTCTTCCACTGGTCAAACGCCTCGGGAGTGACGTAATGGCTGACAGGCATGTGGCGGCGTGTGGGACGCATGTACTGCCCAAACGTCATCACATCCACCCCTGCTGCCCGCACCGCCTCCATCGTGCTGAGTACCTGGGAGAGGGGAGATGAGCGGGTCAGGAGAGTGGGTGATAGGTGTTGGGAGAGGGGAGTTGGAGAGGTGGGGGAGGGGGAAGGAAGTGGGGAAGACACAGCAGTGTCAGAAGAGAGGCGACAAGGCAATAACGGGGGGAGGGGGGGCAAAACTTGCAGCCAGAATGCATCAGATTGCAAAGTTTCCGCGCCTGAAAAAAACGATTTCAGTTGTGCGTGCACCTGCAAAACACTCACCTGCTCCGGGGTCTCCCCGCATCCCAGCAGAATCAACGTCTTAGTGAGCATCCCGGAGCTGCCCTTCTCTTTGACTCAACTGAAAAAGAATTCATCTGCTCTGGCGTCTAAACCCAACCCAGCATGATGCACGTCTTTGTAAGCATCCTAATCCCTTCCCCCCTCCCCCCCCCCCCTCTCTTTCCCCCTCTCAATTTGACTCCAATAAAAAAGCACCCACCTGCTCCGGCGTCTCCCCCGCAGCCCAGCATGATAGACGTTTTCGTGAGCATCCCTGAACACCCCCTCCCCCTCTCTCTCTATTTAACTCGCCTCAAAACACACCCACCTGCTCCGGCGTCTCCCCACATCCCAGCATGATAGACGTTTTCGTGAGCATGCCAGGCCCGCCCCTCTCCCTGCCCGCGCGGGCCATCTCCTTGGCAAGGCGCAGCGTGGCGAGCGACTGCTCAAAGCCGGCGCAGGGATCTGTTTGGAGTCGACTCGAAACACTCACCTGCTCCGGCGTCTTCCCACAACCCAGCATAATAGGCGTGTCCGTGAGACTTCCTATCATTCCACTCACTTTGACTGAACTATAAAAAAGCACCCACCTGCTCTGGCGTCTCTCCACATCCCAGCATGATAGATGTCTTGGTGAGCATGCCAGGCCCGCCCCTCTCCCGGCCCGCGCGGGCCATCTCCTTGGCAAGGCGCAGCGTGGCGAGCGACTGCTCAAAGCCGGCGCGCGGGTCCCGCACAAACCGCTGCAGCTCGCGCACGGTCTCTATGTTGTGCGCGTACACGTCTAACCCGCTGTCCACCACTCGCCGCACACACTCCGCTGACCCCCGGAAGTCCGGCACTGGAAAAGGAATGGGGGGACGAGGGGGGGAAGGGGTTGGGGGCGGAAGTGGGTAGGTGGTGTCATGGGAAAAAAAGAAGTTGGGTTTGAATAAAGGGGGCGAGCGGAAAGCACCGAGAGAGGGCAGAGGTAGGAGACAGGCAGTGCCGCAGGGGATGCGGTGGTGAGGGGGTTCTGTTGTCCTTCTTAGGAGGTGTTTCACTCGTGGATGTATGGGGATTACTTGCCGTGCTGCCACCACCGTGCTACAGATATTGCAGCAACAGGTTCCAGCACTCTGCAATTACTTGCTTTGTGGCTGTTAAGAGTTGCACAGGGTCAGCTGGCCTGCTGTAATGAAGCCATTGTTTATAGTGCCCCCATGTGTGCCCAACGTTATCCTATGGTTGGTAGTCACCCGGCCCCCATCCCCACCAACTCATGTTCCAAATTCCTAGCAACCACCATGGGCTGGCATTCACCCGGCCCTGCCCTTTCCTCTTCGATCCACCTCCCTTTTTTCTCCTCTCCCACCTCCTCTCCCCCTTTCCTTTCCCCTCCCCCCTCTCCCCACTCTTCCCCCCCTCTTCCAACCGACACTTACAAATGTTCGCACTCTTAACACCTCAAACCCCCACATTCCCACTCACTCCCGTACCTCCAAACTCTCACACATCCAAGTCTCACGCGTCACACACTCTTTCACTCCCCTCTATTCATCCTCATCCCTTTCCCTCCTCTCACTCACCCAGCGCCTCTACGAACATGTCAGGGTGGCGCTCCTTGAGCCCAGTGGTAGATATTTTATTCTTTGTTGTCAGTTCACATACACCCCCCCCCCCCCCCCCCCACCCCCTCCCCCCTCCCCCACCTCACTCACCCAGCGCCTCCACGAGCATATCAGGGCGGCGCTCCTTGAGGCGGATGATGGTCTCCGCGAAGTGCCCGCTGCCCTGGTCCGCCAGGTCGTCGCGGTCAACGCTGGTCAACACGATGTACCCCAGGCCCCACTCGCCCACCGCGTCCGCCACCTTCCGCGGCTCGCCCGCGTCCGGGGGGGGCGGGTTGCGCGCCGTTTTCACCGCGCAGAACCTTGAACGCCAGGGGAGAGAAAGGGGGAAAGGGAGGGGAGGGGGAGGGGTGAGGGGTGGGGATGGATGGAGGGGGTGGGGAGCGGAACAGGAAAGTGGGGCCCCGGGAATATCCATGGTTCAACCATTGGGTAATGACCCGATATGATCTAGCCTTGACAATGAAATCGAGAAGGAGCGAAATTGCAACGCCTCCTTCGGGCACGAATAAAAGCGACTCAGGACAGCAGCACGACAGTACCAGGAGCGCCACCATACCTGCAACCTCTTTCCAAAACTATCGACAACAATTCCAACGCAACCAGCGTACCTGCAGCCTCGCGTGCACGTATCGCCAAGGATCATAATAGTAGCCGTTGCGCCCTCGCCGTCCGGGCCGCTCCCTCCCCAGCACTCTCCTAGATTCGGGCACCGCGCTTCCTCGCACACCGTGTGCAGCTTTAACTCACGAAGCCGTTTCTTAATCGCCACGAATTTCTCCCCTCCAGGCAATACCTCCCGCTTCATCCAATCAGGCTTTCGCCGCCTTTCACGCGGCTGCACTGCCTGTACAGCGTACACGCCTCCTAGACCTAATCCCGCGTCGGCCTTCACCAATCCGTGTCCGGCTCCGGCGGACGGCTGAGATTGCACGTCTCCGCCAGATTCGCCGTCCTGATCGGCATCTCGCTTCCGCTGAGCACCTAAGATGAAATCGCCGAGGGTAGGGGAGTCCGGACCGGCGAGACGTTCGCGTAGAGAGGCTAAGGTGTGTTGCTGGCGGGAAAAGGCGATGGATGCGGTAGGCGGAATGGACAGATGGTTGGACGGAAGGTAAGAACAGTAATGTGATCTCGAATTTTCTTGATTCGCGGATTGAACGGATGAATTGGTGGAAATCGACGGCTCTGAAAGTGCAGACCCTGAGAGTAGGGACGCGGACAATCCGCTGGTCCGCGGAGGCGGAAACGCGGAGGCATCGGCGGAGGGGTTGGCGGAAAGCGAGGCGGACTGGACTGACGCGAGAAGCGGGGAGAAAGGGATGGAAAGAGCCGGTGTTTTGGAGCGGATATGGCGGAGAGCAGCCATGACTGTTGATCAATTCACCCGGAGACCGGAGAGACAAGACCACCTGTCTCTTCCCCTCGGTTGCAACACAAGGCAGCTTGTGGCTGATGAGTTGGGACTGGGGCTCGAGCAGACGGCTCGAACAGAGCAGTACCAAAACTGAGTTCAAAGCTTGGAGTTCTGTGGCAGGCCTGTCGAATCACGGAGGTTTGCCCGTTTTTTCCTGAGAATTAAGGGCTAGTTTAATAGCAGCTCAGAGATTTTCATGGTTGGTTTCGCCTCCAACTAGCTGATACGAAATTCGTTTGCAGAGTGGGAGGGGTGGACATTTCCGGAGAGTGGGAAACCTCTGAAAGGGGTACGAAAATGATAGAAGCATTTTGAAGGGTGTGGAAGATCTTCCGATGTTCGACAAATACGGTCACTACAATACCTCTTTATAGCTTTGTTTCTGACAGTAGAGCCTTCGTATAACGGAGTCGTTTAGAAGATTACTCGTCACATACTTGTACCCCGTTTAATTGCACCTCCTTTTAAAGCATAGCCCACTCTCATTATGGGATCTGGCTATAATTCCGCTGCCAGCACCACAGTACCTGTTCCACGAACCTGTAATATTCGTCCGTAAAGTGATCATTCACAAATATGTCAGTGAAGTGTAGGCAAACCTGGGAGAGGCAATATTTCAGAAAAAAAAATAATTGAAGGGTGTAGAAGATATTCGGATGTTTGGCAAACACCTTCATCAAAATACCTCGTTATAGCTCTGTTTTCGACAGTAGAACCCTCGTATAGCGGAGTCGTTTTTGAAGATTACTCTTTCCGCAATCGTACCCCTTAAATTACACATCTTTTTTCAGTATAGTCCTCCTCACATCCCGAGTACTCTCCAACGTACCAGCTCTGGCGAGTGTGTACAAGAATGAACCTCTGGGATCATAGCCTGGGCCACCACCGCCTGGGCTGCCACCGTGTCTGGGCTGTCTGCCCAGAGAAAAAGTTCACCCCTGGGCATAAACCCTGCCAGCCATCCGCTGCTTTTGCTTGGCTGGAATTTGATAGCGCATTGTGTGAACTGCGATGTAAGCTGCGGAACATGAATATACGCGAAGCGAAGCGATGGCAATTCGCGGTGAATCGCCATAATCAAGCTTACCGGTATAATAGAAAAAATAGCCTAAATGTCCAGCCATTCTATTGTAGTTAATGGAGTTGGTGTTAATGCTCACAAAAACAAGACAAAGGCAGCTCACGAGAGCATAACATAGCTAATTATCCCTCCGACAATTGAAACCACATAATATAAGAGCAACAAAACACATAATTACAACAGAAGGGACAGCATTAGCATGGCCCTAATGTGATCCAAAAACAAATCAATGAAACAAGTGAAGATGCACACAGCACCCAACTTAGATGAACGCCTACCTTAAATATCACAATTTCCCATACGGCTGCACCACCAGAGGAACCCTCACTGCATGCATGTTATTGTCTACCCATGTTATCGACCCATAGGAGAACCCATCCATACCTTTCAAAACCTTCAGCTCCACAGAAAATGTGACCTTATCCCCCGGCGCAATAGTGAAAGTAGATGGAGTAACTGTAACCTTCACTCTTGGAGGCGGAACAACTTTAGCCACATAAGTCGACGCCACTGAAGCCACATTAGTCACCGTTCTTGTAACAGTAACCGCGCCGAAAAGCTTCGAGACAGAAATCGACGGCCGGTTGAACTTGTACGCAGGCTTGATCGGCGAAAAGGTCGTTACACTCGGAAACGTATCCTTGGCGCGCTGCAGATCCAACCCGGCGAGAAAATTCACATTGTCTTCAAACGAAGTATCGAAAACCAGCCCAGGATCCGCAACCCTAGGCGGGTCCACATGCCCGGAACCCAACTCCCACGATGTCGCCTCCTTATTCATCGAATTCTTCATCGGTTTTACCACCCGATAGGTGTACCCTCCACCGCCGCTCGTCCCCGGCTTTCCTCCTGCCGCGCCCGACGACGACACAACCATGGTTCGAATATCCGACGGCGATCCTCCCGGAGTGGCCGTCGTCATAACCGCCGACATAACCCTAGCTGGCGACCAATCAGGATTCATCTGCATGATCAGCGCGACGATCCCTGCCACGTGCGGAGTAGCCATGGACGTTCCAGACAGCTGCGAGTACTGTGGACCGTCGGATCCGTCCGTGGTGGTGGAGATCCACGCTCCCCAGAGGTTGACGCCCGGGGCGACGATGTCGGGCTTTAAGATGTCGTTGGTGGGGTACACGGGCAGCTGCACGCCGTCTGGATCGGCGACCGGACCTGTGGAGGAGAAGGCTGCCAGGGCAGGCGCCTCGTCGAACGATGCTTCTACCTCCGTGCCCATCGTGGCAAGCGGCCTGGGGGGGAGGCGGAGGGGAGGGGTGGGGAGGGGGAGGGCGGAGGGTGGGGGGAAGAGTGGGGGACACGGAGGTCAGGAAGAGAACCAAGAAAGGGTTTATGGATGCGTGCACAACAACCTGTCAAACCAAAAACCCAGAAACCCAACCTTGGTCCCTCCCTCCCTCCCTCCCTCACTCCCTCCGTCCCTCTCACTTCTTGGTTTTCTTCATGTATGCCGCCAGCAGCGCGGCCTGCTGCAGCGAGAAGTGAACATACGGCAGCGGCGGCCCCGGAACCACAGGAAAGTTGGCAGCGCCACCCTTCACATTGACCAGCACCATGCCGACGCCGCCCGCGTCCTGCACGGCCAGGGTCTTGTTCCAGATGGGGTTGATGCCCCGCGAGCAGATCACGATCTTGCCCGTGGTCTTGTTCGCGTCGAGCGATCCCTGTATGCATAGATCCGCCTGGGGAGGGGGAAGGGGGAGGGGGAAGGGGAGAGAGACAGGGTGCGATGATTGGTGCGGGGGAGGGGAGGGGGGGGCGTCATTCTTAGGGGCTAAGAAAGGGGAAGCGGGGAAAGCGGGAACACTGGAGCCCGACGGGCAAAAGAATGGGTCCTGTACAGTCTTACTCACGTCATAGACGGATTTCCCTGGAGCAATGGCGTTGCGGGAGTAGATCAAGGGCACGCGCTGAGAGGTGTTAGCACCCTCCACTGCACGCGCCTTGATGACTGCCCCGTTGCCGAGGGTCAACCGCACCACGAACCGCCGACCCATGCTACTGCAGAGGGGAGCAGGGGCAGGGGAGAGAAGGGTTGGGGGAGAAAAGGGTGGGAGGGGCAAGGGCAGGGGAGAATGGGTGAGCAGAGCGCCGGGCAGGAGGGGGGTGAGGCACGAGGGGGGGGAGAATGGGCAAAGCAAGGCGGGAAAGAGGGGAGGGGAGACGGAGCGGGAGTGTCTCACCTGGCGCCGACGGTGATGTAGAAGGGCGAGAAGTTGGAGAGCGTGCGGTACATGCCACTGCTGCGGTCCGGGGGCGGACCGCTGTTGCCCGCCGCTAGCACCGCCAGGATGCCCGCCTGCACGCGGAGAGAAGTAAGGGGAAGGGGAAGGGCATAAGAAGGGAAGGGCGAGAAGTTGGAGAGCGTGCAGTGCACGCTGGGGTTGATGGCAGGGCAGCAGCGTGCTGCTGGCGGGTCAAGAGGCGGACCGCTGTTGCCCGCCGCCAGCACCGCCAGAATGCCCGCCTGCACGCGGTGAGAGGGGTAAGGGGAAGGGGAGGGCGGGGGGGGGGGGAGAGGAAGAGAGAGGGGGAGGAAGGGAGAGGGCGAGAAGTTGGACGTTGGAGAGCGTGTGGTATATGCCGGCCGGTGCGATGTGATGTGAATACCAAGAGCGTGCTGCTGGAGGGGCCGGGCCGGGCCGGGGGCGGACCGCCATTGCCTGCTGGCAGGCAGGCAGCAGCAGCACCGCCAGGATGCTACAGGATGCTCGCCTGCTGAGTGTCGCCTGCCAGGGACCCTCAGCGACACGACATGACACGGCACCACGTCCACCCCACTGCCTCGTAGGGCCGTCCGCCACCCACCGCCTGGTCCAGCGCTGCCCCCAGCAGCACACGGCCAACCACCCCCCCCTCCACTCCCCTCCACTCCCCTCCACTCCCCTCCACTCCCCTTCACTCCCCTCCCTTCTCCCCTGCCCTCCCCTGCCCCCCCCTGCCCTTCCCGCCTCATCTCCTCCCTTTCCCCCCCGACTCCCCAAGCACCCACCTTCTGGATATTCGCGTAGGGCACGTCATCGAAGTAAGTCTCATAATCATTCAGCGCGCCAACAGACAACGACACCACGTCCACGCCGTCCGCCACGGCCTGGTCCAGCGCCGCGTACAGGTCCGCCATGGACCCCGACGGCGCCGCGGGGGGGCTCCCCGCGTCCTGCGCCTGGCGCCACAGCACCTTGTAGATGGCCAGGTGCGCGCGCGGCGCCATGCCCGTCGCGTGCCCGATCACGGTGGTCGCGGAGAGGCTCACGGGGAGCTGCCCGTTCCCGCCCGCGACCCTGGGAGGGGAAGCGGAGGAGGGGGGGTGGGCGGGGAGGGGGAGAAAAGGGATGAGGGACCCGTCGCGTGCCCCAGGACCGTGGTGGCGGAGAGGCTCACGGGCAGCTGCCCGTTGCCGCCCGCCACCTGGGAGGGGAAGCAGGGAGGGGAAGCGCGGGGGTGGGGAAGGAGGAGGGGAGGGCCGCGGGGAGGGGGAGAGGGGGCGAGGGAACAGGTGAGCGCGTGCCCCAGGACGGTGGTGGCGGAGAGGCTCACGGGGAGCTGCCCGTTGCCACCCGCCACTCTGCGCGGGGAGGGGAGGGGAGAGAGAGAAGGCGCGGGAGGAAGGGGGACGAGGGTGGGTGAGTGGGGGGTTGGAGGAAGGTTGGGAGTGGGGGAACGGATGGGGAATGAAGGGGGGGTGGAGGGGAGGGGAGACAAAGAGATGGGCGGGAAGGAGGAAGAAGTTCAAGAAGCAAGAACCACGTCCAACTATCCAATCACCCCATTCCCACATCCCCCCATCCCCCCATCCGCCCATCCTCCCCATCCGCCCATCCATCCGCCCACTCCCCGATCCACCCGCGCGCCCGCCAATGGCGACTCACCCCGCACACCATGTGCCGTGCCCGGACGAGTCCCTGGGCGAAAGGTAGTCCGCGGATTCGTCGACGGTGTAACCGTTCGCGAGGTACCCGTTCACGAAGTGGCGCGCTGTGAGCACCTTGCGGTTGCACATGGCGCTGTTGTCCGCGGGACACGCGCCCGCCCACGTCGGCGGGGGGTCCGGATAGGGCTTGGTGGTCTGGGGGATGGGGAGCGGGGATGGAGTGGAGTGGGGGGATAGGGGAGAGGGGGGAAGGGGAGAGCGGGGATGGAATGGGATGGGTAGGGAGGAAAGTGGAAAGAAGGGAAGAAGAAGCGAAACGAGCAGGCGAATAGGCCACGAAGCAAGCGGAGAAAGAGGAAACGGAGGACGCAGAAGGAAGCAACAGGATGAACGAGAGGATTCACGAGAGGCAGGCGAGAAGGGCAGGCAGGTGAGGCTCACGTTATCCAAGAAGGCGGGGTGTTCCGGCCAGAATCCCGAGTCGATCACGCCTATCACCACGCCCTCCCCCGCGCTGTCCTCCCCGCCGTTGCCCGCCCACAGGGACGCGGGCAGGCGGAGGAAGTTGGGGGAGTTGGTGGTGAACGGGCGGATTTCCGCCGCGCGCGCGACTTGCGCCACCGCGGGGTGCTGGCGCAGCCTGGCGACTTGCGCGCGGGAGAGCCTGGCGGAGAAGCCGTTGGAGGCGAATCGATAGCTGCGGCGCGGAACGGGGGAGCGAAAGCGGGGCAACATACGAGAAGGTCGGGGGGATGGGATAGCTTGATGAGGTGAGAGGAGGAGAACGACGAAGGTTAGATAGATGAGGTGAGGTGAGAGAGGAACGAAACGACCCCACTAACCTTCTAGTCCCCTTCCTTCCTCCCCCTTCCGCCTCAACCTTCCGCGCAACAGTCTTCCGCCCTCCCGTTCCCCGTTTTCCCTCCGCTTCCCCGTTTTCCCCCCCCTTTCCCCCTCCCCTTCCACCTTCCCCCTTCCACCTTCCCCCTTCCACCCTTCCCCCTCCACTGCCTCACCTGTGCACCAGGTTAATGAGCGGAACCCCCGCGTCTTGCGCCACGCGCAGCTGCATCTGGCGCAAATAGCGCGCGAACTGGCGCACGTGCGGGGCGCGCACATTCACCTTCCGCTGCAACCTCTTCCGCCACTTCCCCGCAAGCTTCCCCAAGTCCCTCCCCGCGTTCCATCCCGCCCCGCCGCGGCCTCTCCGCCCCCGAAACCGCCTATTAAATGAAGTCACGGCATTGGCGGCACGGGCAGCCATAGTTTCCGCCGCCTTAGCTAGCGTACTCGAAGCGCGGGAATCACTCGAGTCTAGACTCAACGCGCTAGCCCCGCCGCCCGCGCCGCCGCCGCCGCCGCCGCCGCCGCTGCCGTCGCTATCTAACTCGCCGTCATCGTCCGTGTCACTATCGGATGGCGCTGTAGCGGGGATGCCGGCGATTCCGCCCTTGTAGTTGACTATAGGGGGCGCGGAGCGAAGGCGGACGGTGTACAGTTGAGCCCCGTTAGAAGGTCCCGACTGCGCTGATACGGCTGAGAGGGGACGCGGAAGGGAAGCGGAGGGGAAGCGGGGGAGAAGCGGAGGGGAAGCGGAGGGGAAGCGGAAGGGGAAGCGAAAGGGGAGCGAAGGGGAAGCGGAGGGGAAGCGGAAGGGAAGCGGAAGAAAGAGCGTGTTTTAAACCACCACCTTGCTCTGTAACACGACGGGAGGCGCACACGCAATACGCCACCTTGTTCCACGTGCTGTACTAGCGATCCTGCACCCGCATTTACAGCAGCAAGCACTAGCGAAACTACTCCTGGTCTAGAGAGAGGCGTCAAGATGCGAGTATAGCGTGGCACCTCAGCCGGGCTTCGTCGGTCGTACCCGTACGTCGAGTCATCGCCGAGTCATTTCCGAGCAGGTATCGAATGAACTGAAAAGCGTGCCTCACCGCGCGCCTCACTGCGTGCCTCACTGCGCGCCTCACCTCGCCCCACCTCGCCCCACCTCGCCTCACCTCGCCGCTCCGCTCGCCTCACTGCTCGCCTCACCGCTCGCCGCACCGCGCGCCTCACCTGTAAGCCTATGTGGACCACAGCTCGCGAAGACGAGTAACAAGCACGCGAGCGAGAGGAGGAACCGAGGGCGCGAGATGCGCGAAGGGGAGAAGCAAAACTCCATCGAACACGAAACTCTCGATGAACGAGAACCGCGCGACTGAAACTGCGACTGTCGCTGCGACCGTAGCTGCGATTGAGACTGCGACTGTGAGTGCGACTGTGAGTGCGACCGCTGACACCGGTCGGGGAGGGTGTGTTGCTGGTGAGAACTTTGGTGGCACGCGCTACGTGAGAGACTTGAACGTGATTGGCTGTCGGAGGGTAAGCGTGAAGGCATCGTAGAATCAGTGGCTTCTACGGTCGGGGGAGGGAAAGGGGAGGAAGGACGGGCGGAGGAGGGAGAGGAGGGCTAAGGGGGGAAAGGGGGAGATGTGGGGGACAGAAACTTCGCTCGACTGGAGTTAGCTAAGCAGTGGTTAGTCGAAAGATGGACGACGAAGGTGCAGGTTTTTTGTTGCGCTGAAAACAGCTTAGAAATGATCTGGCGGGATGTTTATAAGGACAGTAAGAGATGGTCGCGACTGGAAACTTCGGAGCGCCAATCTCTCGCTGATCAGAGACAAACTACACGGCGTGATTCTGTCTTAAAACGCTGGGATGGGACGAGGGTACATTAGTACTAAGTGAGATTAGTACGCGCGCTAAGTGCGGGGCTTGTTCGGGCTAACTAGCTGGTCGTTGGAGATCGGTTTTGCGTGCGCTCCTTGTCAAGTTGAGAAAAGATCACAAATCACACATTGCCGCCACTCAGGACACTAGTTCGGTTTGAGGGGTTTATCTCCCCCTCCTCCTCGGTTACAGGGAGTGTGGTGCAGTTACTCGCGTCGCTGTCTGCGCTCGGCCAGTCTTGTCAGCAGTGTATGTTCTCCTGTTAGGGTTTCCATTCTTGCTGCTCCGGGCTGAGCCCCCCACAAAACACTCTGGTCTTTGGGTCGAGGCAGGAGCACGTGGGCGGGGCAAAATGAGGGATTTGAAGGACCTGGAGCGGAGAGGAGAGGGGCGGGGGGTGGGGAAGGGGGAGGAGGGAGGGAAGGATGAAATTTTCTGTTCTGCTGTTTCTTCTGAGAATTCATTTCCTTCTCCTGTGAAGCAACCTGCACAGTCCATCATGCTCACACCCACTTGCTTCCACATCCCGTTCTGTGTGTCCAGCTCCGACCCCAGAAACCCTGACAAAGGGGACCTGGAAAAATAGGAAATAAGCTGATTCAAATTGGTTGAAAAGTTTGCCGCCTGGTTCGATTTGGTTGAAGTAGGTAAAAGCTACTGTCCAGATCCAGGTGGGAGGTCAGCTTGCGAAGACTGTCGGTGCGCTGGGCCGAGGGCTGATTTTGATTTGATGTGTCGGAGTTTGTGTTGGGCTACAGTACAGTTACTTCAGGGGGGAACGTCGTCGCGCGGTCATTGGTTGTCGCAAATTTGTTCGACGTGGCGGTTGTGCCGCACAACAGTGGGCTGGTTCATGGCTGTGTTGAGGTTGGTGGGCAAATGGGCAGTGGGCAGTGGGCAGTGGACAGGGGTGGGGTGGGGGGGTGGGTGGAAGGCAGGGAAGGGGGAGTTGATCAATAACATCTGTGAAATTCTATTGCTAGCACTAAAGATTGTTACGCATCTGAGCGAAAGTGGTGCGTGCGGCTGTCAAGTAGCGAAAATGTTGCCAGCGGTAACGCGCGAAATTATCTAGGCCCCGCGGGGCTTGGGCTATTCCCAAAGCGTATGTTACGCAAAAGTTTTGCACATGTCGCATGTACTCAATACATGCGTCTTAATAACGAGTATAAATATGACACACGACAGGCATCAACGGAGCACACCACGAGTTCTGTTCTGTTCTGTCTGTCTGGCCCCTCGTAAGTATCGTCCCGTTGACGGTTCCTGACTGTTCAGAGGTTTCAGGGTCTCCCAGAATCCCTTTCTCACCTCACATCCCAGGATGTTCTCCAGCAGGTACAGGCGAGGAACCTCGTTGCTCGCTGCGTGTCTGGCGCCTGCTTCTATCTCCCGCGAATATTATGGCACACTTTGCTGATTCTCTCTCACTTCGTTCCTGCGCCCTTCTTCCGCCCTGCTAAACCTTAATCCTTGATCACATGCTGGGAGGAAGCTTCCGCGAGATCCATGCAAACGTAACCCGATGGATCAGAATCGTATAAACCTTCGAAACCTTCAGGATCTCCCCTTCGTGCCGTACGAGGCGGTAGTCATTTGCGCCGAGGCTGACGGCGTAGCTCCCGCGCTGCTGCTGCGGCCCGTGGGAGAATTCACCTCGCGATGGTCGAGTTATGCGGAGCAGAGGGGGAGTATCTGATAAACATGCCAGATGGCTCCGCGCGATTGGCTCTGGAGCATCACGTGCGGCCCAAGCGAAACCTGCGAGCGGCTTTCTTGACGTCTCTGGGCCCCGATGCCGCGGTGAGCGAGTGGATCTGATACGATTCTGAACCAGATCCGCTGCTGCATCGAGCAAATCCATCGCCTATGGCCCGAGAAACGCGAGCTGAGCTGCGAATGCTGTGAATGAGTGACCTATGACTCTTCGCGTGTCTTTCAAGTGCCTGTAACAAATGACCTTCGCTTTTTTTGTTTTGTTTGCCGGTTTGCCGTTGATTTCTCTGCTCTTTCCGTGCAGGCCGATGTGGGGTGCGTGCTGTTTCGGCTGAAGCAGGAGGGGCATGGGGCGGTGGAGATATGCGGGCCGCCGGGGACTGCTGCGTACTGCCATGCGCTACGGCACTCCGTGGGATGGAAACACCCCAAGGTGCGTTGCGTGAGAAACCTGTTTTGCTCAAATGGAAACTACGGCGCTCTATCGTGCGCTCTACGATGGGAATATCTTACTCTTGTTCTTCTTGCTCTTTGTACGGCGAGGCGAATCTGAGGGATGGTCTAGCATGCTTCTATAAGAACCACCAATCCACTGCAGCAGCTGCATATGGTGCCGTGTGCCTTTTTAGTTTGATGAATCGTGTTCTTTCCTTCCACTTTGGTATTTCACCCTTCCGTACACACCTCATGCGCCCAATCTCTATGCCCTGTCAGGTCAGATACTCCTTTCTAATAACCGTTTCAGATCCAGATCTAGACCAGAGAAAACTAGCCAATTTTTCGGGACGGCCATCTGCCTCCCTCCCTTGTGCTTTGCGCTTTGAACCTCCTGTCGAATCTTTGTTGGCTCCTTCACTCACTCCATCCTTTCCCATGGCGTGCTCACTCTCTCTGCTCAGGTGTTTGTGCGAGAGGCGGATCTAGGGGAGCAACCTGTATTCGAAGACAACAACATGCTTCTCCTCCCTCTCTTCACCAACCCACACCGCTCCCTCCCTCTCCCTCCCTCTCCCTCCCTTCCCTCCCATCTTTCTCACCCGGTCTCGCTGCTTACCTGTGCCATTTAGGTGTTTGTGCGGGAGGCGGATCCAGGGGAGCAGCCCGTTTATGAAGACAACAACGTGCTTCTCCTCCCGCTCTTCACGTACACCGCCTCCCTCTCCCTCTGCTTCTGCTGCTACCGCCGCCGCCTGTCCCTCCGCATGGCCGCTAGATCCGCCCGTGCTGCTGCTGGGGGGACGGGAGGGGGCGCTGGAGGGGTTGTGGGGGGCCAGAGCAGAAGCGGTGGGGCGTCAGCACAAGGGACGGCGGATGCAGGGGTTGGTGGGAGGGATGTGGGCGGTTGCTGTGGCGCGCATAGGGGTGGAGATGAGGGGTGGGATTTTGATGATTCTGATAGTGAAGATGGTTCGGAGGGAGATTATAGTTCCGGGGATGGTGGGATTGAGGGTGAGGGGAGTGGGAGTGGGAGTGGGAGTGGGAGTGGGAGTGGCAGTGGCAGTGAGAAGGAGAAGGCTGGAGCGAGTAGTAGTAGCAGCACGAGTTCGGATTCTGAAAGCGAGGAGCCTTCAAGTAAGGCGGAGGCAATAGTAAAGGCTGCAGAGAAGGCTTTCAAGGCGCCTCAAAAGGAGACTTCAAGTAAGGCGGAGGCTGTAAAGGGTGTAAAGAAGGGTCTGGCGTGTGCAGAAGAGCCGGGGAAAGCGCAACACGAAGGCAGGAAGGGGAAGAGAAAGGCTCCCAGTCTTGAAGTGATTGACAGCGAGAGTGGAAGTGAGAGCAAGAGTGAAAGCGGCAGTGCGAAAAACGCTGGGGAGAGCAAGATGGAGGTTGGGAGTGAGAGTGAGAAGAAGAGTGGTGTAGGCACGGAGAACAAGGGTGGGAATGGGATGGAGGGGTGGGAGAAGAGTGCGGACAGCAAGGGCAAGGGCAAGAGCGAGAGTGAGAGTGAGAGTGAGAGTGAGAGTGAGAGTGAGAGTGAGAGTGAGAGTGAGAGGGGGGTTGAGAGAGCGAGAGAGAATGAGGGAGAGGACTTACTTTCGCGTCTGTCACGCGAGTTAACGTTCTCTCGTATGGATGAGGTTTTTCTTAGGGTCTCGGACCCCAGAAAGGCTCTGCGCACTCTCTTTCCTGGTGCCCGTCGGCTGAACCTGGGTCCGCACCCTGGGGAAAGCAGCAGATGGGTCAGGGTAAGGGTGAAGGCAAGAGCACGGAGCAGGGTAATGGGAGGGGCAAGGAGCAGAGCGAGGGGCAGAAGGAGCAGAGGGAGGAGCAGAAGGAGAAGAGAGAGGAGCAGAAGGAGCAGAGCGAGGCGCAGAAGGAGACGAGAGAGGAGAAGGAGCAGAGCGAGGAGAAGAAGGAGCAGGGCGAGGGGCAGAAGGAACAGAGCAAGACGATTGAGAGTGAGAGTGAGGAGGATGATGTGGTTCTAATTGAGAAGGGGGAGAAGATACGACTGATTGATTCAGAAACGGGTGGCGAGAAGAGGAGGAGGAAGAGGAGGAGGAGGAAGAGGAGGAGGAGGAGGAGGAGGAGGGGGGGGAGGAGGAGGAGGAGGAGGAGGAGGAGGAGGAGGAGGAGGAGGAGGCAGGGGAGGAAAGGAAAGGAGGAGGACGAGAGGAGGAAGGACGCGAGGAGGGAGAGGAGGAGGACGAGAAAGAGGAGGAAGTGAGGAGGGGAGGAGGAGGAGGATGAGAAGGAGGAAGTGAGGAGGGGAGAGGAGGAGGATGAGAAGGAAGGAAGTGAGGAGGGAGAGGAGGAGGATGAGAAGGAAGGGAGTGAGGAGGGAGAGGAGGAGGAGAGAAGGAAGGAAGGAAGTGAGGAGGGAGAGGAGGGGGGAGGGGATGAGAAGGAAGGAAGTGAGGAGGGAGAGGAGGAGGATGAAGAAGGACGGAAGTGAGGGGGAGAGGAGGAGGATGAGATGGAAGGAAGTGAGGGGAGCGGAGGAGGATGAGAAGGAAGGAAGTGAGGAGTGAGGAGGGGAGAGGAGGAGGATGAGAAGGAAGGAAGTGAGGAGGGAGAGGAGGAGGATGAGAAGGAAGGGAGTGAGGAGGGAGGAGGAGGAAGAGAGAAGGAAGAAGGAAGGAGGAGGGAGAGGAGGGGGATGAGAAGGAAGGAAGTGAGGAGGGAGAGGAGGAGGATGAGAAGGACGGAAGTGAGGAGGGAGAGGAGGAGATGAGAAGGAAGGGAGTGAGAGGGAGAGGAGGAGGAAGAGAGAAGGAAGGAAGTCGAGGAGGGAGAGGAGGGGGATGAGAAGGACGGAAGTGAGGAGGAGAGGAGGAGGATGAGATGGAAGGAAGTGAGGAGGGAGAGGAGGAGGATGAGAAGGAAGGAAGTGAGGAGGGAGAGGAGGAGGATGAGAAGGAAGGAAGTGAGGAGGGAGAGGAGGAGGATGAGAAGGAGGAAGGAAGTGAGGAGGGAGAGGAGGGGGATGAGAAGGAAGGAGGAAGTGAGGAGGGAGAGGAGGAGGATGAGATGGAAGGAAGTGAGGAGGGAGTGGAGGAGGATGAGAAGGGAGGGAGTGAGGAGGGAGAGGAGGAGGATGAGAAGGAAGGAAGTGAGGAGGGAGAGGAGGAGGATGAGCGGAGGGGAGGGAGGAGGAGGAGGAGGAGGAGGAGGAGGAGGAGGGAGAGGAGGAGGAGGAGGAGGAGGAGGAGGAGGAGGAGGAGGAGGAGGAGGAGGAGGAGGAGGAGGAGGAGGAAGTGGGGGAGAATGAGGAGGAGAAGGAGAAGGAGAAGGAGAAGGAGAAGGAGAAGGAGAAGGAGAAGGAGAAGGAGAAGGAGAAGGAGGAGGAGGAGAAGGAGAAGGAGAAGAGGAGGAGAGCAGTTGGCAAGGTTTGGAGAGTCGAAAAAGGGCGGTCAAAGCGGCGAAAGCTCAAAGAAGGGAAGACTGTCGATCAGAGCAGCACGCCTCTCACGCTGGCCGTTTCTTTCTCTGGGTTTGATACAGAGACATCCCTCAAAGCCCTCAACCCAGCGCCCACTTCCCCCTCCGCCGCTCCACCTACCTCCATTTGGGCTGCTATCAAAAACCTCCTCAAAACCCTCAGACGCCTCGAAGCCAGAGAGAACCGGATCAAAGTGCAAAGCAAAAAGGCCTGATTCAGGAGGAAGGGTGCCGGTGAAAGGGGGGAAAAGAGTAAGGGGCCGTGCTCAAGTGGTTGCTCTTCCGGCTCTGGCTCCTGTGGTGCCGCTTCCAGCGCTAGACAGTCTGCCGCTGGTGAGCACCTATGAGAACGCTCTGTATGCGATCAGCCGTGTAGACGGCTCTGTGCACCCAGTCGCTGATGCTCTTGCTGCTGTTGCCGTTGCCGCCGCTTATGGTGCTGCTGGTGCTGCTGCTGGTGCTGCTGGTGCTGCTGGTGCTGCTGGTGGTGCTGTGTGCTGTGGTGGTGCTCCTACTTCTGGTGTTGGTGGTCGTCATGGTCATGATTCTGCTTCTGCTGCTGCTGCATCATCAGCCCAAGGCAGCAGCAGCAGCAGGAGCAGCAGCAGCAAGCAACGCCAATGCAACTGCAGACCCTGCTGCCACCCGTGCTGCTGCCCGTGCTGCCCGTGCTGCAGCTGCTGCTTCTGCTGCCGCCACAAAGGCTGATGTGGCCCGCGGGTGCTTCAGCCCTCTCTCTGTAATCAGCAACCCATGGGCGAGTTCTATCCCTCTGCTGGGCGGGTTGGGGCACAGTGGGGGTGGGGGGGGAACAGGCGCGAGCGCATGGCCATGGCTGGGAAGATCGTGCCTCAGCTTGTGGGCTATGTGATTTTCTTCAAGCAGGCTGGGACTGCGGTGCTTGTAACGGATTGCAGCAGCCCGGAGGAAGCTGCTGCGCTGCTTCCCATCGCGTCGGTTTGCAGTGGGTGCGAGGCAGGTGCTGATGGGGAAGCGGGAGAGGGAGGGGGAGAGGGAGGGGGAGAGGGAGGAGGAGAGGGAGTGGGGAAAGGAGGGGAAGAAGGAGGGGTGGGTGGGAAGAGAGGAAGGAGGAGGTTGTGTCACTGTGGTAGTGGGTTCAAGGTAGGAGGTAAGTCTGGAGCATGTAGCGCTGCTACTGTAGCTACTGCTCCAGTTGGCGTTGTGTGCAACGGTAAGACTGCCACCGCTGGTGCCGCTGCTGCAGTTTCTGCCTCTGCTGCATCTGCCACTCGTGCCTTTCATGCTGATCATGTGCCAGTGTCTATGGTGCCAAGCGTCAACTCTCCAGCAGCTGTTGGTCCTCTCACAGTCGCCTTCCACCTCAGCTCGCGTGCAGTGCTGGCATCGCCAGCTCATCGCATGCTCGTTGACAGGCTGGCAACGCCACGTGTGCACACAGAGGGTCTCGCTGTGCCTGGCTCATTGGGCACCTCTGGGCAAATGGTACACCCTGCCAAAGCAGGGTTTATGGGTTTTGGATATCAAAGCAATGCCCGGCAGCAGTGGCAGCAGCAGCAGCAGCAGCAGCAGCAGTGGCAGCAGCGACAACCGATGTTCCAGCAGGCTCGGGAGGAGCTGCGTCCGCAGGCACAGCCACGGCTGGAGGTGCGGCAGGTGCTGGTACGAGGTGGGCCCAAGGAGTATGGCTTCATCAGTACTCTGAAGCAGCTGTGCCGCTTGCATTGCCTCGATCCTGCTGTCTTCCCCCTGCCGCCTCAGCAGCAGCAGCAGCATCAGCTGCAGCGGCTGCAGCAGCAGCAGCAGGGATACGGAGGCATGGGGGAAGGGAAAGGGGAAGGGGTGGGGGTGTTGGCGGGTTGGCAGGGAGTTAGGGAGGATGCTGTTGCTGAGGCGAGAGCGAGAGCGAGGTTTTTGCAAGGCGGGGGAGGAGCAGGTGTAAGGGCTGGAACGGAGGAGGGGACGGAGGAGGAGGGTGAGGGGGGGGAGAGGAGGAGGAGGAGGATGAGATAGATGAGGGGGGGTGTTAGGATGTGGTGGGGGAAGGAACGGTGGTGTGGTGGCAGGAAGGTTGCAAATGCAAGTTTTGATTGGCGTGGGGGAGATGGTTGAGAATGGCATGGGCGGGAGGGGAGCGGAAGGAGCGGTAGTGGGTTGCGGGCCGGGAAACACAGTTCGGGGAGTGGATGGAGGAGCGGAGGAGGGAGGAGAGGGGTGGGGCGGGAGAGGATGGGGGTGTGCTGGGGGAACCGTAGGGTGGTTCGTGCGTGTGTGAGCCATGAGAAGTGCCCTGAGGTGGTGGACCCTGTGAAGGTCTGGGAAGCGGTGAGTTGGAGATCTATGCGGGAGGAGGAAGAGGAGTTAAGGAGGAGAGATGAGGAGGATTATAGGGAGAAGGTCGTTGGGACTAGGGCGATAGAGAGGGAGATGGCGAAGGAGAAGGAGAGGCGAAGGGATCCGGCGAGGGAAAAGGAGAAGGAGAAGAGACGGGAGATGGAGAGGAGAAGGGCGCTGGAGAAGGAGAGGAGACGGGAGAAGGAGAGGAGAACAGCGCTGGAGAGGGAAAGGGCGAAGGAGATGAAAAGGGTGAAGGCGAGGGCTCATATGGAGACGATGAGAAGGAATAAGGAGAAGAAAAAGGAGAAGGCGAGGGTCCATGCGGAGATGATGAGAAGGAATGAGGAGAGGAAAAGGTTGGCAAGGTTAACGGGGGAGGAGAAGGGAAAGGAGAAGATGAGGTTACAGGTGAATGCAATGATTAGGGAGAAGTCGAGGAGGAGGAAACGGGCAGAGGAGAGGGCAATAGAAGCGAGGCAAAGGGCGGAGGAGAGGGAAAGGCAGAAGGAGAGGGAAAGTGCGAATGAGACAGAGGAGAGGGAAAGGGAGGAGAGGGAAAGGGAGAAGGAGAGGGAAAGGGATAAGGGGATGAAGCTCGATATGAAAATGGCAAGAAGGAAGAGAGAGAAGAGAGAAGAAGCGAGCAAAACGGGAGGAAGGAAGGGCGAGGGAGAGAGAGCGACATCGGCTGAAGGCACTGAAAGAGGGTGAGGAACGAGGTGATGAGGCAGAGGGTGGGAAGGAGAAGGAAGAGATGCTGAGTATAAAAAAAGACACGGGAACACGAATCCGGAAGTTAGAGGAGAGATTGAAGAACAAAGGGGGGAAGAGTGGGAAGTGGTCTAATAAGCGAGAGAAGAGGACTTTGAGGCGGCTGCAAATGCGAAAGGCGGAACTGGCGGCTCTGGAGGCAATGCTAAGAGGGGAGAAGGGGCAGGGTGAAGCAGGGGAGAAGGGGCAAGGTGAGGCGGGGGAGAAGGCGCAAGGTGAAGCAGGGGAGAAGGGGCAGGGTGATGAAGCAGGGGAGAAGGGAGAGATGCTGAGTAGTATAAAGGGGACGGCCAAACGAATCCAGAAGTTAGAGGAGAGATTGAAGACCCAAGGGGGAGAGAATGGACTGTTGTCTAAGAAGCAAGAGAGGAAGGTTGTGAGGCGGCTGGAGTGCGCAAAGGCTGAACTGGCGGCTCTGGAGGCAAGGCTAAGAGAGGCAGGGAAGAAGGGGCAAGGTGAAGCAGGGGAGAAGGGGCTAAGAGAAGCAGGGGAGAAGGCGCAAGGTGAAACAGGGGAGGGGAGGGCCGTGGGGACCAATGTGAGCGATGTGAGTGCTGGAAAGGAGTGGGTGGAGACTGCGAAGGTGGAGCAGGGAAGCAAGGGAGTGACCGGAAAGGAAGGTTTTGTGGTTGCGCAGAGGAAGGGTGTGAAGCTTGCAGGTGCTGTGGCAGTGGTGCAGCAGAAGACGAAGAATAAGAAGAAAAGGAAGAATAGGAAGAAGAACAATAACAAGGGGGAGGAGGAGGAGGTGGGGGAAGAGTTGGAGGAGGAGGAGGAAAAGGAGGAGGAGAAGGAGGAGGAAAAAGGAGGAGGAAAAGGAGGAGGAGAAGGAGGAGGAGAAGGCGGAGGGAAAGGAGGAGGAGAAGGAGGAGGAGAAGGAGAAGGGGAAGGAGGAGGAGAAGGAAGAAGAGAGGAAAGGAAAGAAGAAGGAGGACGATAAAGAGAAGAAGGAGGAGAAGAATGAGAGACAGGTGGGAGCGAGTGGTGGGGGCCGTACCAGAGTGGGGAGGACAGGGGTACTGGAGTGGTGGTGGGACATAAGAGGGAATGAGGGTGCGGGCCGAAGGAGGGGAGGCGAACGCGAGGGAGTTAAGGAGGTCGAGGGAAGGGGTGTGGCTGCTGGTGCTGTGGGGACTGCTGTGGCAACTGGTGTGACTGCTGGGGGGAGTGCTGGGGGGAATGCTGTGGGGAGTGCTGGGGGGACTGGTGTGGGTACTGGTGTGGGTACTGGTGTGGGTACTGGTTCGGGGACTGGTGTGGGTACTGGTGTGGGTACTGGTTCGGGGACTGGTGTGGGTACTGGTGTGGGTACTGGTTCGGGGACTGGTGTGGGTACTGGTGTGGGTACTGGTGTGGGTACTGGTGTGGGTACTGGTGTGGGTACTGGTGTGGGTACTGGTTCGGGAACTGGTGTGGGTACTGGTGTGGGTACTGGTGTGGGTACTGGTTCGGGGACTGGTGTGGGTACTGGTGTGGGTACTGGTTCGGGGACTGCTGTGGGTACTGGTGTGGGTACTGGTTCGGGGACTGGTGTGGGAACTGGTGTGGGTACAGGTGTGGGTACTGGAACGGAGGTGACTTTTGAGGCGTCTCAAAAGTCGTCTGCTGCGGGAACAGGTGCGGGGACTGGTGCGGAGAATGGTGCGGGGGCTGGTGTGGGTATTGGGACGGGCGTGGTGGCTGTGATGGTACGGACTGAAGAGGAGATAGAACTAGATGAGGAGCAAGAGGAGGAGGAGGAGGAAGAGAAGAAGGAGGAGGGAGGGGAGAAGGGAGGGGAGGTGGAGGGAAGGGGGAGAAGGGGGACTGGTGTGGTTACTGAGGGAACGGAGGTGGTGGCTGTGACTGTGCAGAACGAAGAGGAGATAGATCTGGATGCGGAGGAGGGAGAGGAAGAGGAGGAGGAAGAAGAAGAGAAGGGGGTGCAGGGAGGGGAGAAGGGAGGAAAGGTGGAGAGGGGAGAGAAGGGGTCTTGTTCTTTACTGGCGAAAGAATCGTCTTCTTTCCCTGCGAAGGAACCCTCTTCTCTACCTGCTGAGGATGCTTCTTCTGCTGTACCTGCGAAGGAAGCGTCTACTCAACCTGCTATCGAACCGTCTTCTCAACCTGCTAAGGAAAGTTTTGCTCCACCTGCAAAGGAATCCTTCTCTCGACCTGCAAAGGGGTCACCGCCAGTGAAAGATCATGGGTGTTCACTGTCTGCTGATAAGTCTCCTGATTCTGCCAATAAGTCAGCAGCACAGAGGATCAGAGAGGCACTGAGCAGGGGCAAGGGGGCTGGAGCAGACACAGCAGGGCAAAAGACTGTTGCACGGCCTTTGCTACCCGTTCTGCAAGTGCCGGAAGCGCCACAAGAACCACTAGTGCATGTGGCAGCAACGGCAGCAGCAGCGGCAGCAGTAACAGCGGCAGCAGCAGCAAGAGAAAAAGCAGGAGCAATAGCTGCAGCAGCAGCAGCAGCAGTGCCGTCCCCAGTGGTACGGCCAGCGGCAGTGGCAGGAGCAGCAGTATCGCCCACAGTGGCAGCTGCAGCAGCGGCCGTAGCAGTGGCAAAGGCGGGAGGGGGATCCCCTTGTAAACCTTCTAAACAACAAGTGCCGCCGTGGCTCCGTCATCGTCCCCCATTACCGGTGATCCCGCCGGTCGGCCTCCCACCACCAGCAGTGCCACCAACCGAACCACAAACACAAACACAGCCGCAACCGCAACCGCAACCACCCCTGCCACAGTCGTCAGTGCTGCAACCGAACCTGCGGCAACCACCCTTGTCGCAGCCACCCCTGCCACAACCACCGCTGCGTCAACTGAACCTGCCGCAACCACCCATGCCGCAACCAAGCCTGCCGCAACCACCCATGCCGCAACCGAACCTGTCCGAAGTGCTGCAAGCGTCAGTGCCGCAACCGCCGCTGCCACAGCCACCCCTGCCACAACTGCAGCAACAGCCACCACTGGTGCAACCACCCCCGCCACAACCACCCCCACCAGATCCAACCCTGCGACACCACATACCACCCCCTTGGCATGCTGTGCGTACACCTGCTGTTACGCAGTTACCACCTCCCACACCACCACCACATACAGCAGAACGAGCCTCTTGGATCAACCACGTGCCACCACCACCGCAATTTTTTCTGCAAAACCAGCCGAGATATGTACCGGCAGCAACCCCTTCACAGGGTCCATACCCCTCCTCGGGTGCGCCCATGCATCCGAGTTTTGAGTTGACAAGGTCGAACCCCTCTTCACAGGGTCATTATCCTTCCATGGGTGCCCCTATGCGTCCAAGTTTTGAGTCGACTCAAAGACCAGCACCACCCCCTTCGCAGGGTCCATATCCCCCCCCAAGTGCGCCCGTGCATCCGTTGCCCTTCCACCCTGCGCTGCCGACAGCACCAGCAGCTCCAGGACCAACCCCAGCACCAACCCCAGCACCCACCTCAGCATCAACCCCAGTACCAACCCCAGCACCAGCAGCACCAGCAGCAGCAGCAGCAGCAGCAGCAGCAGCAGCAGCAGCACCACCACCACCACCACCACCACCACCACCAGCAACAGGTTTCCCTCAGAGGTTTGTGGCACCACCACCGCTTTTCCCACGGCTACAGGCTCGTATATTAGGAGCGATAGCTCCCGCTCCTGCCCCCGCTCCTGCTCCTGCCCCTGCTCCTGCCCCTGCTCCTGCCCCTGCTCCTGCCCCTGCTCCTGCCCCTGCTCCTGCCGCTGCCCCTGCCGCTGCTCCTGCTTCTGCTCCTGCCCCCGCTCCTGCCCCCGCTCCTGCTCGTGGCCCTGCTCCTGCTCCTGCTTTTGCTCCTGCTCCTGCTCCTGCTCCTCCTGCTGCTCCTGCTCCTGCCCCCGCTCCTGCTCGTGCCCCTGCTCCTACTACTGCTCCTCCTGCTCCTGCTCCCGCTGCTCCTGCTACTCCTGCTGCTCCAGCTGCTGCTGCACCTGCTGTTGCAGTTGCTTCTGCTGCTGCTCCTGCAGCACCAAGCAGAAATCAAACCGCATCACCTCTTTACCCCCCTCCCTCTCCCTCCCCTCCTCCAAATCCTCTTGCTACTTCCGAGGCTCCTCCTAGTAACACTCCCATTTGCCCACTAGAAGTAACCTTCCTCGGAACAGGCTCGGCCGAGCCTGACAGGCTTCGGGGAGCAAGCGGTATTCTGCTTCGGTCAACAGTGACAGGCCAGAATGCTTTGCTGGACACAGGTGCGGGGACGCTGGGGGCGCTCAAGCGGAGGTTCGGGGAACGGCAGGTTTGGGACGAGCTTCGGCGGCTGTCTGTGGTTTGGGTGTCGCACAAACATGCAGACCACATGCTAGGGCTGGTGCCTATACTGTTTGGGTACCGAGAGGCTCAGGAGAGGGGTAGGAAGATCAATGGGTTTGGCCGCTACTGTCAGTGCAAGTTTCCAAAAGCTGACCTGCTGAAGGGCAAGCAGCAGCTACAGGAGGAGAAGGAAAAGAACAAGGGGGATGAGAAAGAGAAGGAGAGATGTGGTCGGGAAAAGAGACGTCGGGTGGGGGATGGAGGGGGAGCAAGTGACAAGCAGGGTTGGGGAAGTGGGCAGGGCAGCAGGGGGGACGGAAAACATTGCAGTGGTTTGGATGACGAAGAGGAAGAGGAGGAGGAGGAAGAGGAGGAGGAGGGAGAGAGAGAGTGGGGCTGCTCTGTGTGTGGGAAGGCGATTCAAAAGAGCAGGAGCAAAGGCTATGGTAGGGTGGAAGAGTTGGAGAAGCAGCAGCAGCAGCAGTGCGGAAGGAAGAGGGAGAGGGATTGGGATAGGGAGAGGGAGAGAGAGAGCGGGAGGTGGAGGGGAGCTGGGGCAGCACATGTGGATGTGAGCAGAGGAGCAGTGGCAACAGTTTCTGTCAAACCCTTGCTCATCATTGGTCCTAATTTGGCTGAAAAATGGCTTGCTGAGGTGAAGCAAATGCATCTCTCTCTTTCTCTTTTCCTCTCTTTTTCCCTCCCCGTTTCATGTCTGGTGTTCTCCCCCTTCCAATCTTGCCTTTCGTTTCGCCTTCCTTCCAACCCCCATTCTCTCCCTTGTCCTCCCCACGCTCTGCGCACCACTCTCTCACGTTCCTATCAAGTCCCAACCTCGTGTCCTTTCCTCCCCCTCCACCTCCTACCTTCGTTTCTATCGCCTCTGTGGCAGATATCCGCAGCGTATTCGGCGACGTTCCTTCCCTCAGAGTTCTGAAATGTCTCAAAACCCCAACCACTGCTCCCCACCCCCATTATCTCGCCTCCGTGGCAGATATCCGCAGCGTATTCGGCGGCATCGTTGCCCTTCCCTCCCTACCGCTTTGTGCACTGCAGCAACTTCAGTGTGTTTGCTCGCTCTGTGCCAAACAAGAAAGGAGCACGGGACCGGAAGCACCACCAGCACCACCATCATCAGCAACATCACCGTCAGCAGCAGCATCAGCAGTTTGGTATTTCTGTGGAATCTTTGAAGCAGCGGCTGCTAAGGCAGCTGGGGCTGACCAACATCAAGGTGCCCTTTCCCCGTTTCCTCACCAATCGGATTTGTTTGTTTCCGCTTTCTTTCGTGGCATGACATTTTGGAATTGTGAATAGCGTCTCCCATTTCCAGTCTTCCGCCCCTCGCGTCACCTCTCCTCCTCTCGCCTTGTCACCTCCCATCTCATCTCATCCCCTCCCCTGCATTGTCAGCCCCCCATCCCCTCCAACAACTTCTCTTCCTGGTCAACTTTCTATCTAAAGCTCTTCGAAACTTGCTCCTCCGTGTCTGCTTCCCTGTGTGCTGCCCTGCCAGGCTGTTCCAGCTATACACTGCGCCGACTCTTGGTCTCTCATTCTATGGGGCCCGGCCCCCCCCACTGCCGCTGTCACTGCTTCCGCACTCCCTGCTCTCGCTGCTGCTCCCACTGCTCCCGCTGCTGCCGCCGCTGCTGCCCCCGCTGCTCCTTTTCCACCTGCTCCTGCTTCTGTGCAAGGCCTCGAAGGCCAAAGGAGTGGGCAGGATGCTGAGAGACAAGGAGGAGCAGCAGCAACAGCAGCAGCAGCAGATGGTGCAGAGGCGTTTGGAGGATGAACAAAGCCCGTTCTCACCCCATTCAGGGATGCAGCCCAGTGGCATGCCGCATGGGGTGCAGCAGGCATGCGTGCAGATGCAAGTACAGACAGGCGTGCAAGGTCCCACCTTGCAACGTCAAGCAGCAGTGCACGTTCAGGCACATGGTCCGATGCACCCGCCGCAGCCCGGACATATGCCACCGCCGCCCTGTCATATGCCGCCGCCGCCCTGTCACATGCCGCCCCCGACTGGTCACATGCCGCCGCCGCCCAGTCACATGCCGCCCCCGACTGGTCACATGCCGCCCCCGACTGGTCACATGCGGCCGCCACCCGATCAGATGCGGCCACCGCCCAATCATTTGCAGCCAAATCAGATGCCTCCGCCACCCAATCACATGCAGCCCAATCCCATGCATATGCCACCGAATCATATGCAGTTGCCGTCCAGTCACATGCCGCCCAATCATATGCCGCCATTGCCTAATCAAATGCATCCACCGCCCAATCACATGGATATGCCATACGATCACATGCAGTTGCCTCCCAGTCACATGCATCTGCCAGCCAGTCACATGCATGCACCACCCAGTTACATGCATCCGCCGGGAAAACACATGCAGGTGCCGCCCAGTCAGATGCATTCATCGTGGAATGGGATGCAGCCGCCGCCCAATCAGATGCAGCCGCCGCCCAATCAGATGCAAATCCAGCCTTGGTCGAACCCGCACGAAACGCAAATGCATCAGTACCAACAGCACCAGCACACTCAACATCAGCACCAGCAGCAGCACCAACAGCAGCAGTATCAACATCAGCAGCACCAACACCAGCAGCAGCAGCAGCAGCAGCAGCTTCCCCCTCAGACACTTGAGATCACAGCTACTGAGGAGCCACCCTATCCAGGGCAGCTAGTAGTGCACGCAACACAGGCAGGGCCTGTCAGCATGCGTGTTCACGGTGCCCCTATGCAGCAGCGGCAGCAGCAGCAGCCGCAGCACCACCAGCAACAAGATCTTCAGAACCATCCCCACTACCACCAGCATCAGCAACAGCCGTTTCAGAACCAACAGCAGATGCAGATGCAGCCACCAGGGCAGTTGCATCTACCAGGGCAGATGCAGGTGCAAGT